TAACTTACAGTTAAAACAGTTAATAAGACTAGACATAAAGAAATTGATCTCTCTTAAACAGGTACACATCACACTCAATTTGAGAATTAAAGTACTACAAATTAATCTAATTTGTTTTCATGTGTGCATATTTAATACAGATAGACTATAGGTTATGCAAATGGCAATATATATATATATATATATTTAACCCCTCAACTGCCGCAGAAAACGTAATTTGAGAATTAAAGTATTACAAATTAATCTAAATTTTTTTCATATGTGCATATTTAATACAGATAGACTATAGGTTATGCAAATGGCAATATGTATATATATATATATTTAACCCCTCAACTGCCGCGGAAAACGTAATTTGAGAATTAAAGTATTACAAATTAATCTAAATTTTTTTCATATGTGCATATTTAATACAGATAGACTATAGGTTATGCAAATGGCAATATATATATATATATATATATATATTTAACCCCTCAACTGCCACGGAAAACGTACAAAATTCATTTCCCAGTGCCACAGTTTTTCACACAGGCGTGCGTAGTTATGCGATGTATTAGGGGGAAAATAAATGCAAGTTTTATTTTCTAAAAACTGTTTACTTTCACAAAATAAAGAATAAAAGAAAAAAATGAATGCGCAAAATTTAATGTTTTGAGTAAAAGTATAATACAAAGATGCAAGTATCATAAAAACGATGTTTTTATAATAAAAATGATCCCTAAAATGGAGTTTCGATCAATTCATTATTCATATCAGGTTTCAGTGTTATACCTTGTGAAATAAGCATGCTTAAAAAAACATATATTTCTTCTGAACTGGTTGAATGCCACGATTTTGTTCTTGATTTTTAGTTTGCAAGATGTTGGTTCATATACTCGTCTACAAAACAGTTAGTTTCAGCAACAATATGAAGCACGAGCAGTTCATCAAAAAATAATTCAAAAAAGATAAATGGGTTTGAAACATCCGTTATATCTTTCTTTATTCCTGGAACCTACTACAAAAAGAAAACGAAAACGGAGAACACAGAATAATAATTAAAAAAAAAAAAAATGTTTTACTCAAACAACACCAGCCAATACTGCGCAGTCATTACTTTCACCGCTTTAGACACTACAGTTTCTCCCCACACTTCTCTGAAATAGTGTCCTCCTTCACATACTTTGTCAAAGTCATAGTGGTGTTGCATTCTAAAGCTTTGCAAATAATTTTACGGGTAGCAATGCAAAGCAAATGATAGTAGTTTGGAGGGGCGTATATATATATGCCCATGGCAGTTAACGTATCGGCTGAGCAAGGTGTATATGTACGCCTGCGGCAGTTAAGGGGTTAATATTTCTATTGAGAAATTGAAGAATATTCATTGTAAAATGTAGTGGTGGTACTAAGGTTTTTCAATTTTTGTTTAGATGTTACGCGTTAGGCAAAAGGTTGAGAACCACTGTCATAGAGCATGTGTGGGACATGTTGGGATGACAGATAGCAGGCCGCAATGTACTGCCAGGCACCCTCTACGAGTTTCAACATGCATTAGTACATGAATAGGCATTATACTGCCACAACAAGCGGTCAACAACACTATTGCTATCTTGCCTCGCTGTTGGTAAATATGCATTTCAGATAGAGGGTATCATACCTGTTATAAGCATGATGTTTCCATTGCACATTCTTCCGGCTCATTCAGTCTTTTGTGATGTGATAGTCATAATATATGTGTTTTTGTATGTCTTTGCTTGTGGTTTAGTAATGCCGCATCAACAATCTCTTGGATAAATTTTGTGCATATCTATTAAATAGTTTTTGTTCCATGTTTCGCCTTTGTTATTTATTTTTCGAGCAGGAGTGTATATGTTACTGTAAAAGCCCAAAGTCTGGTAAATCCTAGATTTTACCGGTAAAATCTAGCTTTTACCAAAATGGCTTGGTAAAAGCCTGAAGTATGCTTTAACATGATTCCATTTTGGACTTTTACCAAGCCTTTGCAGTAAAACCTATGAATTACCAACGTCTTTTGGTAAAAACCTGAAACGAGGGATTTAAATCAACTCTGAATACACTTGCACACACAAATTCTGTTGAGACACTTTTTTTATTCCTACTTCTTCCTATCTGTGCCATCTGCAGTCTAACGTTGAGCAAATTCAAACAGGTGTAAACGGTTACAATTTAAAATAGAAGCAGTTTGTTTCCATTTCAACATATTTTGCGATTTTTATTTTGCTGAAAGGAAATGAGTGATGCTATGTGGAAAAAAATTTTACGACATTTTGTCTGAATCTGCAAAAAATAAGCTCGATAACAGCTTTCATTTAACAAATGAGAAATACATTTTTTAAAATAAATGATGTGAAAGAAACAAAATGTGTGAAGCAAAAACAATCAGTTCATTACAGAAGGTTGAAATGCTATGATATTCTAAATATTGGAGGAGAGGACAAACTTATAGCACCAATATCTGTAGAAAAAGTAGAAATCCTGTATTATGTGACAGTTAATGCAATCTTCAAAGTTATACATAACACTTATATCGCAGCTTGCCATGGTGGAAGAACCTGCATGATTGAGAAACTGAACTGCAAGTACAAAAATGTAATAGTAGAATCTTTTGTTACGTATTTGAGACTATGTGAGCCATGTCATAAAAGTAAATGGGACAAAGTAAAAAACAAAAAATTGAAAAAGAGGATTGTAATCAAACCAGTTGTGCGAAATGAGTTCTATAATACATATGCAATCCAATCCTGGTCTTGATATGAAATTTATTTTATTGTATCAAGATCATTTTACAAAATTCATCCTACTCCAAAGTCTGCACAGTAAAAGAGCTGATGAAGTAACATATCACCTGGATATTTTCACAACTTTTGAATTCTCCATTCCGACAATGGGAGGGAAGTTTGCAACCAAATCACAAACAGTTTATGTGAAATATGGAGCGACATAAAAATAGTTTACAGTAAGCTGAGACACAGTCAATCGCAAGATTCTATCGAACAGGCAAACTAAGACATTGAGAAAACATTGGCAACATCGATGGAAACAAGACAGAAAATTGGTCGGAAGGATCAAAATTGTTCAAGCAATTAAAAGCAAAGTATATTACAAGGGAATCAAGTGTTCACCTTACAAAGCTATGTTTGTTTGTGATATGAAGCTGGGACTTGCTAACTCAGCTTATCCATGTAATTTGATTAATAACATGGCCAATGAAGAGGACCTAGAAAAAATCTTAAAAATGAATCATGAATGCGTGATTAATACAGAAGATGAAGGCACTAATCTAAAATCAACAGTTGATTTAGAATTGCAAAATAATAATATGTGTGAAAAAGAATCATGGATGAAAGTAGATACTGAAGTTCAAATTGAAAAAAATAAGGAACCAGATATATGTTCTGATGCAATGGGTGTGATTATCTACAAAGTTTAAAATGTGAGCGTGTTTCTAAGGACTTGAGAAGCAGGCAAAGAAGATGAACATTGCATCTATTAAAAATTTTACGAAACCTAATCTAGGATAAAATTTTAAAGTACCTGATGTTGATAGATCGAAAATGGATCCAAAATCAGAATAGCCGTTATTACAGATGAAGAGTTTTATGTTTTTGGTACTAAGTTTATTAAATTAAAATCACTGTACACAAGAAATCAGTTTACCTTTGTAAAGAAAATTTTTTAAACATCAAAGAAGTTGGTACAGAAGAAATAAGTGTATGTGAAATAGTAAGAAACTATCTTTAATTGGGTGACAAAAGGACTCAGAAAATTCAACCATTCAAAGAAGTGTACTATTATGTGTTTGTGCAAATCAGCTGGTCTACTTTGTAATTCAAAATGCCAAAACAGTCAACCTTGTTGTAACATGTATTGAGAAATATTAGATGTATTAAGAAAAACTTACTAAATTTTTCTTATTTTTAAAGATTTCATAATTATTATTTTTTTCTGAGCTATCAATTTAGTTTTTTTAAGTATTTCCAAAATTATTTTTAAAAATTATTGAAATCTCTTTAGTAATTATCAAGAGAATTCATTGTGCATTAGTTCAGCTTTTTCACATAGCTTATTTATGAAATGACATTTTTAAAAATTTTTATTTCTCGTAACATTTTGTAAGACTGTTTCATCGACATAATCTTAATTTATACCATATTTTGATCACTTTCAGAATTTATATTATCCGTTAAAAAGTTAAAGTGTGTTTTAACGTTTTTTGGGGGATACACTGTATACAATATATCTACTAATAAAAAATCCTATCATAAGAAATCTCTTGTTTTGAGCTTTTACCGGAATATGTTGGTAACTCCTAGGTTTTGGCTGAAATGGAATCATATTAAAGCATACTTCAGACTTTTACCAAGCCACTTTGGTAAAAGCTAGGTTTTACTGGTCAAACCTAGGATTTACCAGACTTTGGGCTTTTACAGTAACATATATACTACCTATATATCTGGTACTGCTGATTACAATAAAAAAGGAGATGCACAACTCAATCCATATATACAGACACCACACAAAAAATAGTCAAAATGGGTATTTCTGTTGAATCTGAAATTTGAAATGTTTAACGATTTCAATACTTCTTTTATATCGTACAAGGTAGAAAAACACACTGGGAGCTTGATTGAGATGCTTTTCCACACAAGCAGTAACTTCCAATAATTATAAGCAATTTTTATCTATATTGTCATACACTAATTTTAAAATTTCATAGCTTTTAGATAAAATTTCATGTTAATGCATTATTTCTGATGCATGATTTACTATGAAAATACAACTTCTCTAAACTAAGGTTTTAATGGAATAACTGTACAGAATAAGTTGAAATTTGCCCTTTAAAAAAAAAAAAAAAAACTAAGGTTTGATGTGCTGCTCTTTTTGTTGATGAACCCTGCCTTTATATTGCTCAGCATTCAAAAAGCAGCATTCACCATTTTTATCATGTCTAGAATATTGTATTTAAAAAAAAAAAAAAAAAAAAAAATTAAATAGTATTACACAATCAACATCACTTTGTTTTAATTAACTGTCATTTAAAACCATCAGTTTTAAGCACAGGAAATACAACTGTTTGCCTGAATAATTGATGAGGGATTACTGCAATGAAACTGATAACATATATAAAAGTCATTAAATAAAAAGAAGTACTTATTAAATAAAATTCTCAATCTTTGGCACGCTGTTATCCTCAGTCTTCTTAACCAACAGTAGAAACTCGCTCTGTTCCTTTTTAGAAATCCTGAGATATATATTTGCACAGAAAATAAACATATTTACATTTCTAATTTTTCTCTCTTTTAATTTTCACTTATTGTAGATCTCCTCCTGAAAAACAAATAAAGAACCTGACAAAAATTTTAATTTAAAAGATATGAAATACAAATTTATGAGTTTCTGTTTGTAATCTATTTTTTGTGACCATTCATATATAATCACAAACATGTATATGATTTTTACAGAAGCAAATTATATATATATATTTTTGAAAAATAACGAAAAGTACTCACTTGGTGCAAGATGTTGGAATTTTGCTTTCTGCATTTAAATTAGTGAATGTTGAAGATCTTCTGATTACTTCTAGAGGGGGGATATGAAAAATTAATTTTTTATAAAATAATTTAAAACAGACAATAAAAATAAATAAATTGCTACATTTCCTCAGTGGGTATACTAACTCAAACATAGGAATTTTCATTGAATCAGTAATGGCCTTGGTATTAAGAAAATGCTTTTTAAAACAAAGCCTTCCTAATATATTTTGGAATTTTTTTTGGTAAATTTTCATTTGTGTCATGAAATAATGCTTTTCAAGACACCATTACACAAAATATATAAATTTGTTTCACAAAATAACTATATAGCCCCCAGACATATCTTTTGACGTTTAGTGCATTGTTATTTTTAAAAAAATCTCTTAAGACGTAGATTTTAAAGTCACTTAACCTTCTGATGGTAATCAATGAGCTCAGCTTGAATACAGTGCAGGAACACAACTCACATTACAATTTTCTGCCTAAACACTAACGATCGAGTCCCACTCGCAAACTTAGATTTTTGTCCTAATGTGTGCAGATGAAGTGGACTTGTTCTTCATAATAATCCAATCATTTTTAGTGTTACAAATAAGTTGAGTTTGCAAATTAATTGATTTTACTTTGTACAGATGGCTGTAGGAAATAATTTCCTGCATAATACAAGTGAATTACACATTTTTATAAAGAATTTTTATTGCTATAGTATGAATGCAAGTTACAACTAGAAACAGAATCAAAGGGAAAGTTAAATCACACTTTTTTTTTAAATGAGAAATCTGATTCTAAAGACAAAAATCTTTTATCGGATAATAAAAATGATTCAGATTCGGATACAGATGTCTGTTTTGAAAATTTGGAAGATTACTTGAGCGGAGAAGATTTCAGCAATGGGAAATGCCACTTTATGTACCTTTCATGTTTCAAAGTATACCATACACAAAAGTGTTTTTAAATATATATATATAGATAGATAGAGAGAGATTCATTCAGTTTTTTATTATTAAATATATTAGTTACTGATTTCTAAATTAATTAGCTTCTTGTGTTTTAAAAATTCAGTACAAAACATTATTACATTGACCACTTGAAGATATAATGGCAAATAATAAAGTACAATTTTTATTAAGCTTATTATTTCTTATGATAATATATAACTTTTGTTATAAATCAATGTAAAATAGTAACTTTCTACAGAATGAACTTGCATATGCCAAAGATGCCTGTGTATTTTCCTTTTTCAGAATGGGCTCTATTTTTCTTGATAATAGATACTAATTAATAAAACTTTAGGGAGAAAACGAGGTATCTGTTTCCACCGCAACTGATAGATATCATACATACTTAGGAAGAAACAATTACTTAATCTTGCAGCTGCGGAAGGGTTAAAACTAATGAGTTATACAGAATATTCATAAAAGAATGGAGGGGGGGAGAAATGCTCACAAAGCTAACTTAGTTTTACAGCTATTCATAACCTAGGCAACATAGAAGGGGAAATAAAGATGTCTGTACTTAATATATGCAAATAATGAAATTGTGCATGATGGCACAGAAATTTTACTTTATCTTTTGTTTATATTAATAAAAAAAGGTAGAATCCACCTTATATAATGGTACTAGTATCTTAATGAAAGTTTCATATTAAAAATTGACCTTCACAGTGCTGCTAGCAAATTACTTCCTTTTTACTGTGGTATATATTGAACAAACTTAAGGGTGCTAGTACCATTACATCCATATAGTCCCTATCATCAGGCCCGCATCAAGCCTAATCGGCGCCATAGTGCAAATGTCTTTACGTAGTGATGATATTAAAGGGAAACTGCTTATGGTTAACACTTAAAATGAATTATTGTTAACATAATAATATGACAAGCCCCCCCTCAAAAAATTACATTTTATCTTTCAATTTGTCTAAATGTGCAAGCATTTTGTGCTTTGTTAAAACCCACACTCAAACATATTTATTGAAGAAATATATATATATTTAAAAAACTAACACTGCAAGCAAAGCGAAATAATACACTAAACGCATCGGTTACCGAATTTATTGCTTAACACTATTTATTATCTTAAAATTGTATCTAATAAGTTTGTACCGAATAAATTGTTGTTAGCAGAGTTGTTTACGACAAGGTCCAAATTATGATTACAATAGGGCACAAAAAATGCTCTAGGGCTGATATCTAGGGATATATCTAAAATTCTTTTCTGTTTACCACTATGTTGTTGACAATGATATAGCTTAGAATTTCAACCTGTGATGCTACATTTTCTCCAAAAGTTTGCAAAAACTGCAGTTCATGCATAAGATCTATACTACTTATATTGCTTTGATCTTTATCAGTTAATGCTTTTTGCAGTTTTTGACATGAGCTGAGCTGATCTTGTAAATAAATATATGCGAACTAATACGTGATGCCGATGCATACGTAAGCCAGCGCCCTAAATACATTCGACAAATTGCTTGATCCTTATTTTGTGTCTACTGTTGCAATCGTAGTAATTTGTGCAACTTTTTATCTTTTTTTGTGATCTTTTTGGGTGACTACTTGTTGTTATTGTTATTCCATATAAAAAATTGTAAGTGCAGTTACATATTATGTTAAACTTAGGTTAGCTTTTCAGAAGAGCGATGATTTGAGCATAATTACTCAGAAATTTTTTTTTTTACATGAACCATTTGTTTATTAAACTAAAAACTATTACCTTTCGAGAAGAAAGGATTGACATATTTACGGAATGCCACTAAATTTAAAATATACCTATTTGAGATTTGAAGTGAAGTAAAAATATACAAGGTATTCTGAAATTGAAAATTGCCATTTTCTGATATTTAGCTATACGGAAAACTGAAGGAAAATGCTTTGTTATTTCATTATGTCTTAAATACATACTTAAAATTTGATTTATTTATTTTAATAAACAAAAGAGTATAAGAGTACCTCCTACCTTCTTGAATTATTTAGTACTGATCTAACGGTTCATATATTTTCAAAGCAATGGTTTAAGATATACTCAGTTTTTCAGATGATAAGGTAAAATATTTCAAACTGTAACTTTCCGAGTGTTTTTAAGAAGTGTTTTACATAAAAGTTATTCTTAACTTTTATTTTTACTTCCACTTTTTCTGTCGTCATTTACCATCAGATGCCGGGGAACTTTAAAATTACTCAGTTTTTCGAAAACCCGCTGATGCTACTACCACTAGTTGTCCATCAACGTCTCAGCCACCATTGAAATTATCAAAGGAACCTAATAATCAGAAAGAGTTAGAAAACGTTTTCATCTGAGAAGTAACCTTTAACTTCAATGTAGGCGGTTTATAAAACAGACGAAATACTAGTGAAATCTACAATTTTTGCAGTAGATGCTTTTACCAATGCCTGATGATTCCAGATTATGCCCATGTCCATTATTGCCATCCCAAGTTCAAGCCTTAATACAAAATGTTCCTGGATATTATCAAAACCTGGTTTTCAGTTTTCCAAAATGGACATCAAATTTTTTAGACGTACTTTTGTCGAATCTAGCCAAACAACGAAAGAATTAAAAGGGATTAATTGCTAACTTCTGCTCAAAATTCTGTTTATTGTTTTTGTTGCAAACATTTTTAACAATTTCAGCAATGCAAAATTGAGTAGTTCGGAATTTAATGACTGGACCACTTAAATGAGCACTTGAAACTTCATGAAAAAATCAAATGCATTTCCGGAATCTTCACCTTCGGTCCCATTTTTTAGAACGATTACAAATAAATAAACCTACTGATTTCGAATTTCAAAATTTATTAAAAAAGAGACTAAGCATTGACATGATTTATTGAAAGAATTAACTATGCCATTCAGTTTTTAACCAAACAAAACTTTCCGTGGTTCCAGTAACAAATTATTCTAAAGAAATAATTTTTTAAAGCGTATAGAAATGATCACAAAATTTTACCCTATCATGTCTGTAATATTAATAAAATTCGAACTAAAAAAACATGCTTCATTACCTTGGAGATAAAATTCAAAATGGAACAATTAGCCTATTAGGGAATAATATAAAACAAATTATTTTAAATAAGGTCAAACAGGCAAAGTATTTTTCTATTTTACTTCATTGTACCCCTAATGCCAGCCACCAAAAGCAGATATTAGTTTGTATGAGGTATCTTAATTTAGAAAATACTGACATGAGTATTGAAGAAAGGTTTTCAGTATTTTGTGTTGAAAAAGATACGACCAGTGAAGGACTAACAATATTCTTATTAAAGACTAGAGGAAAATTGTTTAGATACAGTAAGACCCCGCTTAACGCTGTTTCGTTTAGCGCTGTTTCGGTTTAGCGCTCTTTTATTTCAACCTCGGGATTCCCCGAAATGCTGCCAGCAGAACTACGGGATTCCTGAAATTGTGCGCAGCGGTAGGTTTCCAAATAACATATCCGAAACTTTGTAGTTATGTTTCTTGTTTGGTGCGGTGAGGTGCTTCTGTACGGAGCATTTTTATCATTTGAAACATTTGTTGACATTATTGTAAGTATAAATTTACATAATACTATAATGATTAATACAGTGGCAAATATTATGATCTTTAGTTTTTATCATGGTGATATTAAAAAACAAGAAAAGAAAGCAACCAGAAAAAGCATTTCACTGGAAACTAAAAAGCAAGTGATTAAAGATTAGATTCTGGTGAGAGTCAGTCTCAAATTAGTGCTGCATTGAATTTGGCAACTTCAACAATAAGGACAATTCTTAAGAATAAAGAAAAAATACTGTCATCGGCAACTGCAACTACGTCGAGCTCTGCAACTAGAATTACCCATTCTAGAAAAAACATTATAGAGGAAGTGGAAAAACGACTGTCTATATGGACTGACAACGAAATTGAACGCAGTATGCCATTAAGCCAATCTATCATAAAGCCTTCTTGACAAAAAGGCAGAAAATTGGAAACACAGAATAGACTGAATGATCTGACTGGCTGAGAATTTTATTTGTTTTTATAAATATATTCGTTTATATTGTTTTTATTTTTGTAAGAAATAAATAAATGGTTTTATTTTTATTAAAAAAAACATTATTAAATTTAATACCTAACCAATTTTCTATCCATCTTCCCCTAACTCCATTATTTACACGTTAAGATAGCCTCGTTTAGTGCTGTTTCGCATTACGCTCTACTTTGATGGAACGGATCCCCCGCGTTAAGTGGGGTCTTACTGTATTAGTAATTTATGCGGCCAAGGATACAACAATGGTTCAAACATGAGAGGTAAACAGTTTTGGAGTAATTATGCTCAAATCGTGGCTTTTCCAAATTAAAAAGTTAACCTATGTTTAATATAATATGTAACGGCACTCATATTTTTTCATGTAGAATAACAATAACAACTAACAATTAAAAAAAAAAGCACAAATTACTACGATTGCAATAGTAGACACAAAATAAGGATTAAGCAATTTGTCAAATGTGTCTATCCTTACATTAAGTATTTGCACTTTCAAATAAGACAGAAGAGAACACCAGAGACAAACTCCTGTCCTGTTATAACTTTTGTTCAAGAAAGACAGTGTGCTAGGAGGAAGAGGTACTCGGAGCTGGCAAACTTGAGGTTGCCCTAACACAGTTAAATGACCCAATCCATAAAGGCGATCCAAGAGGCCGCTAACCTATTGGTCGAGCAGACGAGGTAAGACTATGTTGATTCGACAGGAATACTCAGCAACTCGCATTCCACGCATCTGCCATCTACAGGGGCCTCCAATCCCGGACAGCAGAACGAATTCACTTAAACATTGCCAGACAGACTGGGCCACCAATCCAGCCTGCAACACTATGTCAGGGTACATAGATGTCTGCTTTAGACGCCCCCAAGGGGAAACCAAAGGAAGGACATGAATATGCAGTTTTGAGGCTGCAGGCCTCCACTTTAAACCTCAAGCAGTATAAAAGCTCGCTGAATTCGCCAACTCCACCGACGGGGGTGTTTTGCCCAGGACAACTATGAATATCTCACTATATAGCTCCACCACAACCAATGGAACGGACATATGGTCCCTGTCAAGCCTGAACCAACCATCGCCAGTGATGACTTCAGTCTTGTGAAGACTGATTTTAAACACCCGTGGCTGAGACTGCCTAGATACAGATCATAATCAGTAGCTTCCCAGGTTTTACCCAAGTTTATCTCTGGGATAAGGCGTTCAAATAACACAAGAATTTTCCTGTTGAGACAGGCTGCTTGTTTTAATGATTGCCTGATGCCTTTTTGACTCAGCGCTGTCGTGCCTATTGTCGGCGTGGGCCTGCTTATCATCTTACGTATAAGACCATTTTTTAAGTCTAAGGTATTTAAAGATTTAATAACAGACATTTTGCTAGCATGGATTATCAGGAAAATAAGCATTTCTAATCAGTTTTTTATGGGCAATACTGAAAGTGTCTATGGGAAATCATAACATTTTAACATATTTCAGAGAAGATTGCTGAAGTACAATAATAATTTTTTCAGATAACAATTGATAGTGTTATTTTAAATGAGGATTAATAATAAATACAATTACTGGGAGTACAAGTAAGTTTCTGTTTGAAAAAAAATGGCACAACCAGTAAGGTTATGGTTAAAACTGTCTGATGATGTCTTATTTTAAAGTTGAACATCTGGTAACAACATAACATTGAAACATAAGCGATTTTATATCAGCATTATATATTTTTTTCATGCGAAAATGTCGAGTTTTGTGCCAAATAAGCATCATTCGTGAAAACTTTGATTTATCTCAGTTTGAAGAAATCTGCAGCCGAGGTGCATTGAGTGCTTGTATATGCATATGAGAAAAGTTATTGCGAGATGTTTAAAAAATTTAAGATTAGTGAATTTGCCGTCAAAGACAAAGAACATAGAGGAAGGATGCGTTATTAGATGAAGAATCACATACCAAACACAAGTAGAACTTAAATTTACATTAGGAGTGACTCAATAAGCAATTTCACATGGTTTAAAATCATTGGAAATGATTCTAAAGGAAATAAATTAGGTTCCATATGAGCTGAAGCCGAGAATATGGAACACCGATTTTTACTTCCTTGTACGAAGTAAAAAGGAAGTATTGTATTCGCGAAAAATTTCGGGTATCATATTTCAACAAAAATATCCATTCTGATGGCTATTGAATGCAATTTAACGATGTTTTTGAATGACATTTACACATAAGGACAAAATAAAGGACTCTTTTCCACCCCCAAAAATTATAAAACTGATTTAAAATGAATCCCGAAAATAATTTTTCGTGCTGTCTGTGCACACGTACGTACATATCTCGCATAACTAAAAAACGAGTAGCCTTAGAATGTTGGAATTTTGTATGTAGGACTGCTATAACATGTAGATGTGCTCCTTGTATTTTGGTTGCAATCGGCACACCGAAAATAAATAAATATATGTATATATCTACTCTTACTTGGCTCAGTTTTTTTATTCTTATATGTTTGTAAATTGCGCATTTTTTTGCTTTAAAAATAATTGAATTATGTTGTTTTTATTTTCCAGTTAAGATTTTTATGCTTTTAGTTAACCTGCATGCAATAATTGTAGAATTATGAACAATTTAAAAGTTAAGTGCAGCTAAGCCTCAGTATTTTTACCATAGCGGCCATGTTTGTTTACATTTAAAACTTAGCTAGATTGGATTTGTTGCCAATCTAGAAAAACTAAGCTTCACAACAATAAAGATAATGCCTTCATTTATTATTGAGAATTAAATCATGCCTTTTCTATTCTAAAACTTATTCAAGGAAATAAGTGCTTAAGTTTTACTTCGTAATTTTTAATATAGATGTTTTGAGTTTTTATGTATTTTTGCCTTGTCGCGAAGTGAGAAATGAATTAATTGAATGAGAAATACTGAATCGTCTGTGGAAAACTGGTTCTTTCTTTCTTATTTTTTAAAAAATTTCTTTTATACATCTTTTTAGATTTGTTATAATATTTGAATAGAACACGTGGCAACGATTAGATAATTCTTTAGATGATATAAATTTTGTGCATTCTGATTTATATAATGAGTGAAATGTAACACTGTTAAGTGAACCTAGTGAATTTTAAAGAGTGCATTTATTCTATTGTGGTTTATGCGATATCAACGAAGTAGACTTAATCCAATAAGTTTAAATGAAATGCAAGAAAAAATGCATATAATTAAACATTCCGTACAAGGAAGTCATGTGGTGTACACATCAAATTGTTTATACATGAAATGCTACTTGCCAGACATAAATGAAAAGGTTTTTTTTTTTTTTTCATCATACAGTCACTGGTGATGAAAAGTAGATCTGCTATGTTTGTGTGTGTGTTGATTATGGCAAAGCCTCGAGGGCTATCTGCCTAAGAGGAGGGATGCCTTCGTGGAGGACTTTCTAAGGGAAACTGGCTCGTATACATGTTACACATGGGGAAAACCAGTAGATCTGCTATGATAACCCAAAGAAGAAGAAATCATGGGAACCAACTGGCCGTGTTTCAATACTGAAAGCTAAATCATGTTGTGTGTATGGTGGGATCAATTTGGCGTCATCCAATTATAAGTTGCTCAAACCGAACTTAATCAGTTGGGGCTCTCTACGCAACATAATCCATGAGAATGAGCCTGGAATCTAAAAAATGCACGCATTGCTACTCCAGACATGACATGTATGGTCACTTACTCGTGTGTATAAGAACACTCATGATAACACTCATCATGAGTATGATAACACTCATCCATGTGTTGTGGTGCTGGTTAAAACCTACTCAGAAAAACTCAAATGAAAAGTTTTGCCCTCTCGCTGTATTCATCAGACATTGCTTCTTCTGATTATTACTTGTTTTGATTGATGACACATGGTCTGTCTGAGCAGAACTTCATATCATATGAAGATACTGAAAATCATGTTGACTTGTGGATAGCCTCGAAAGATTAAGCATTCTTCCAATGTGGTATCCATATACTGCCAGAAAGATGGGGAAAAGTAGTGGTTAACGATGCACAATACTTTGAATAAAACATAATGTACCGTTATTTCATGATAAATGTCCCCCTTTTGATAAAAAATGGCAAAGGTGTATTTGTACTCCTGATAAATCAAAACAAGAACTTTAAAACTGCCCTTTGAAATCAACATATTTTTTATACTTATTGAAGAATACTTTATTATCTGAAATAGAATAATATACTTTCAAATTGACTGATTGAATTTAAATCTGAAATAGAATAATATACTTTTATGCTTTCAATGGAAAAAGCATAAAAGCATGACTCTAGCATAATTCTTTCAGAATTTCAGAGATATTTAAAACTTTCTCTTCTTATGCACTAAAATAAAAAAGATGGGATTTATTAGTTTGGTAAAATAGTAACATTTATTAAATGTAAAATCATGTGAATCTTTAAGTATGTTTCTTGTACATCTGAGCATAAAACACAGTAATAGCATTCTTAATGCAAATAATTTTTTTTATGTATGTCTATATTTTCAAATTCAGTTTACTTTCTCAAAATGAGTTAATATTTGTATATATTGGTAAATCCTGAAAGTCTTTCTGAGGTATCTGGAAACAAATATTTTTAATACCTGGAGATGGAAAAGGAGTAATATTAATTTTTCTGTTGGATTCCAGTGTAATTTTTGAAGAAATGTCTTTTGGTAAAAGGCACTGGGTTTCAGTTTTATCTTTGCCAGATACTGAAGTCTCATTTGAAACATTTTTTACTGGTGATGAGGGAGAACAGTTTGAAGATTTTGGTACAGCAATTTTAGTAGTCTTTTTTACTGAAAATCGTCTTGTTTGTAGCATCGGAGAAGGACACCGGTCAGATTGCTTTGGAATGCAAGACAAACGTTTCTGTCGTGGCCATGTGCCAATAGTAGGGCTAAGAGATCTATCAAGAACAAAACAACAGAATTATTTATTCAGGCATTCCCATAAAAAATACTAAATCAATGATTAAAAAAAATCTGAGTTATTATTACAATTACATTTATTAAACATAACAACAATGTTAAACATTATGCATTAAGATATAAACATTTATAAACTGCATAAAGAAGAATATGCTTAAAAAAAGCATGTTTCATAACATTGATAGGCAACTTCTGTTGAAGTAAGGGTCCATCCAAATATCACACAATTTTGTTACAATTTATTACATATACTGAGCCCTCTAATGATAACCACCTCTGAAAAAGAACAATACTTTTGAGGATAGCATAAGCATTAAATAGATTCTGAGAATATATGAATATCAGCTTAGATAATTATATTTCCTAAAATGACCACTCACTAACTTGAGGGAGACTATCAAACATACAGTAAGGTGATCATTAAAATAGACCATGTATTTTAAGTGCCCCCTTGTCGCACAGACACTTTATGTTTACTAACATCCATGCCTTCTCCATGATTCAAACCCAGGCCCTAATCAAAACTTTTTTTTTTTAAATACAGAAAACAGTAGATAATTCACATCTCTGAATCATTGATTTTATCATTTTTCAGGGTGGCACAATTTTTTATGGTTTTGTGTTGGCATTCATGATAGGAAATAACTACCACATTACTAAACTGTTTACATTTTCATTTCCTGTCAGTATAGTTTGTAATATATAATGGCTGGAACTTATATTTATAGCAATCACTTATTTATGACCGATATGAAAGCTCTGTGAAATTTTTACTGTCCTTTAATGCATTTGTGCACAACCCACAGTCAGCAATATGGGATTTTATTACAGCTGTAGCAGCACTTGTTGTCTTGGTAGTTAGAATTAAGCAGTCCATCGTCTGAAGAATAGTTTGAAAATGAATAACATAAAATAAAAGGCCCCTTGAATGAATAAATGAGCCACAGGTTGCACTACCAAGTTCAGCACTGTCTTGCTAAATGACCAGAAGATCCACAGAAAGTGCTGTCTGTCTTCCGTTCTTGCTTTCACAGTGTTGTCATAGGTTGCCTTCCAGAAATCAAAATTAAAACTGTGAACTAATGATCTGTTCTTAGACTATGTTATATGTTAGGGTAATGCTGTCATCATTTGTACGCAAGATTGATTACAATCTTCAAAGTACTGAGGTTCCATTGAACACCTGATTTTTTGGTTACTGTAATGATGCCACTTGCTTGATTGGCATTTTAGTTTTGGCTTATATAATCTGGTTCATGGGTCATCTAGTATAAATGATACAGTACAAGAAATCCTCTCCATTGCATTTCAAGTTTCAGCAGTAATGCATTGTAATAACTTCTGTATTTATGTCTAACCATGCTGTACCCACCATGATACAATTTTTCTCATGTCCAGGCATTCTTTTGGAATATGTGGTAGTCTTATAATCCCGCACATGAATCATTTGGCCTCCATCAATCTCCAACAACATGCCAACAAGTTGCACTTCTGGTTCTCTGATACTATGGTGATCAGCACAAGGCATGTCTGCCATTCTTTGGCATCCTTTACTGAAGGCCTATACCAACCATGCTACTGTTCTCATGCTATACAGCTGCAGCCACATTTGATCTTTATTCAATTTTGTTGTTCCTCTTTCGAAAGCATCACAGCTACACAGTTTTAGACCTTCAATTCATATAAGACTATTTTCCCAATCATGGCATATCACTGAAAGTGATTTCTATTTAATACAAAATGAATTAGCCTAACTAACGGGTGACATAAGCAAGAAGCACGGATTTTATTTCATAGCATATATTCAGCATTTTTGTTATTATGTACTTTCCACACACAAAAAATAAATCAGGGTTCATGTGGTGCAAAAATAACTTTATTTTAGCTTTTGATATAATTGTAATTGTTTATGTTTATTTTAAAGTTAAGTTCAAAACATGCATATATTAGGTACATGTTAGGTTCAAAACGTGTAACATTTTAAATTTCATGGGTCCTATTTCAATAACCTTAGAATAAGATGTCTGCAAAATGAAAAGTAAAAACAATACATTTGGAAGCATAATTCACAAAGGAAATTGGCTGAGAAGTATGACTGTAGTAAAATACAAAAAATTTTAGAAAAGAAAGCAATTGATGAAAATATTGATTTAATTTTGGCCTGTTTAGAAAGTGCTTGTGCATGAAACATGTTTGCATAATGACACATGCATTATGCAACACTAAATCAAGCAGCGAAATTAAGTGCAAGCACAGTTCGGTTAGGAAAATTGCTGAAACAATACTGTTATTACAGAGAATATCAGCAAGGAAAGAGAACCTGTCTAATTGATTGGTTATGACAGCTGCTATAGTTCATAGAAGGTAATGATTTCAATCAAGATTTATGATTCATTTTATAATGATGCATAAGTAAAACTGACAAACATTTTAGAAGATTATGAATACCTTGAATCTGGAATGTTGCACTTTGATGAGGTAAAATTTTTCATACTTTGGCTAGATACTGGACAATCTTTAGTAAACTGAAGATTTTTTGTCTGATTCTTCTGAAAATCTACATTCAGTCCAGGACTAGATATTCTGCGTTCTTTTTTAATATCTGAATGGAAAAGTAAACTTCATAAGCATGTACTGGGGAAATGTATTTAGATGCAAACAAATAACATGAAAACTGTAAATATTAAAATTAGCTAAGAAGAATAATAGATACTTAGAAGAATAAATGAGTGTAAAATTATTAAATGCAATACACAAAATAATTTCCGATTAAAAAGATAAAAATGTTTTATAAGTTATTAAACTTTGAAATCATTTTAAACACATGGCAAATTAGATACATAAAATTATAACAAACTAAAGACTGACTAAATCAGCAATATCAGAATAGAAAAAATATGCCATTTATTAGATATAACAATGTTATCTGATTATAATATATGCCTTTAACCTCCAAGTCCTGCTAATCACACAGTTTTGCAAAAGGCTACGGAACTATACTTCCATTTTATCTTCAATGTCACTACATTGTCATAAGATTTCAAAATTCTTATTTCAAGCTCCACCTCATTCTACAGGTGAGCTATAAGACTGAGCTCATTTTTCTGAGCAGACACAATACTTAATAAACTTCAAATTACTATGTAATTGATTATGCTTTATATGTAGGTAAATTGTCATGCTGATACAAACAGATCTTATAAAAATATTACCACCACTGAGTTGGTAAAATAAAACTCTCAAGCATGCCATAAGAAATGCATTAGGTAACAACAGTTGCGTCTACCACAATCAATAGGTCTCATCCATATCACTCACAAAACAGCTCCATTTAAAGATGATGCCACCTCCAAACTTGCAGATGTATATTGTACATGCCAGTAAATATCTGGTTGTAATGAAAGTTTTCCCTCCAGAAAACGTTCTGAAAAAGGGGTAAAAATGAAAGTAGTATATTTAGTGCAGGTTCCAAATCTATCAACCACCCAAATCTATTATTTTCTGCCAACATTTTGGTAGTTTTTGAAAGCATTCAGCCCAGAAACTTGGTGGCCGCAAGTCCAAAAACAGATCAACCTCACTTTGGATGTCTTCTGCAGAATGGAAGATAGCACCAGCAAGATGTAGCTGCAGGTGTGAAAAAAGGTAGAAGTCTGAAGGAGTGATGTCAGGGCTATGGTGGATGTGGCAAAAGATCCCATTCAAGCCAGTACAGAGTCCAGCCGGTGAATGCAGACACATGTGGTCTTGCATTATCTTGATAAAACATCCCTTTTTTTGTGCAAGAACTCAGTTCAATGTTTTTCTTTGAGAGCAGTGTCAACATGGTTTAGCATCTCATTGTACATCTTACTGTCAAGAGTTTTACCTTTTTCCAAATATTCTTTGTGGATAACACCATGGCAATTGTACCAAATAGAAAGCATGATCTTTTTGTTAGTCAATTTGCACTTTCTGACACTGCCAATGGGCTCACCAGGTGCAGAACAACTCCCTTTTTGGCCTGTGTTGTTGAAGTATATCCACTTTTCATTACAAATGATGATCCGGTCCAGAATTTTGTCCTTGTGTTGATATTCGAGCAGATTAGTGCACGCCCAAAAACCTCTGTTCTTATCTGCTTGCATCAGCTCATTCGGCACCCAATAGTCCTTGTGTTTGAACTTTTGGTACCAAACCTCTACAGTTTCATATGATACATTAATACCTAAAGCTCTACACATGATTTGGTGACATTCTGTAGCTGACTTTTTGCAAGAAAACTGGAAGTAAATGGTGGTTCTAATCTGGTAGTGGGATAGTTCCTTTTCAGAACACCTTGCACATAATGATATTTTTATACACATTTCAAAACAGTGTTCTAAAGCAAGTCTCTTTCTTTCAAATGCCAAAAATCATTTGACAAAATTTGATTAAACACACCAATGCAAACTGTTTACGCAGACGATATTTGCAGTGGTGGGAAACTTCTGTTAAAACCTGATAATAATTTCTTGACTGTTGTCATACCCATGCTGATTATCAAACTTCTACTAGTTGCTACCTCCTGGAGTCACTAGCACATGGAACTCATTTTCATGACTCTTAATGTCTAATAGCAGAAATGGTCACTGCACTATGCTCTATTGATGAACAGCACTAAGAATACTGATAAGAAGTTTAAACACAGCTACATAATCATAGGAACTCACGGAATGAAATTCGTTTGTTAATGATGCTTATGCACTTTGAGGTTTTAATAGCATTTAGCAATGCAACTCATAGTTAAGCTTAACTCTAGGGCAGTAACATGTTGATTAGGTCAGATTTCAACATTTTATGTCTGGCATGCTTTTGGTCAGTATCTATGATTTAATGGTTATAGTATACTATTTCTCTTCCAGTAATTGATATGAATATGGTTAAATGTTTTACAGTGCCTTTGATAGAGAAAGCATAAAAATAGTCCTGGCGTGCTTTGCCTTAATCAAATAAAATAAACCAAACCATTCCATTCCGATTCCATTGAACTTTGTTTTAATATTTTCAGTCAAACACACAATGTGAAATGATACAAAAAGGCTTTAGGCTTGCTTTTACAACCTTCTGGTAATATACTGCTCAATGTTAGGGTAAGAAGATTAGCAAATCATGGTTTTGAGTAATTAAATGGTGATTTTTGTCCCTATTGGTATACTTACTTTATGACTTACTATTATACAATCAATTACTAGTATCATCACATTCAACTAATTGAAAATGGATTTTAATGCATGAAAATATAATATGAAATATTAAAAACAATGTAAAAGACCAAAAATTTAAACATAGCATGTACGTAAATGATACTAATAGATAAGAAATCCCATTTTTTTTTTAAAAACTGTAAAACCGTCATCCCATGAGTATCACAAGTTCTTTGGGTAAACATCTAAAATAAAATTCAGGTATTTTAATTTTAATTTCAAATAAAATTTTATAACCTTTTCCAATGGTAATCTTAAATTTTTGATTATGATAATAAAATGTTTTCTGGTTTTGAACTGAAGCTTGAATCAAGCTTTCTACAGTATTCAGATATTTCCAAATTAAATTATTATTTGAGAGCTTCTGGAAAGGTAATAGACAGATAGCACTAAATCAAGAAGCTATACTGGATGAAAGAGAACATCAATACTTCCCAATAAAACTACTCCAGTTTTATTAGATAAAGTCTGACAGTATCATCATGGAAATAAATTCTTTTTCTGTTAGTTTCTCTGATATCTTAACTCTTACAAACTTTTTTAAGCTGATGTATTTCTTTCACTCTGCACACTCTTGTACTACATGTTCCTCCTAATGAGATAATAATAGTCCTTCAATGAATAATTTTAATTAGTAGCATGTTACAGCTTACATATCACATGTATGTATCTTAAATTTCACTTGTATGTTTATACATATATATATATCTCATAATAATACATGTATCTTACTTACTAAAGAGACCAACATCATCTTCAAATGCAGACGCTTAATGTTATCATGTAGTTGGTTTGTCACTGTTATAAAAAAACTAATGTTACTGTACATGACCTATTAATCATTTCCCTGTAATAATTCAAATAAGAAATATTTTTTTTTTGTCCAATCAGCAAAACTCAGAAATGTGGATTAATCCTTTCGGTCCTTACAAATACATGACTAAAGAAACCTGGCAACACATTTGCTAAATTGCAAACGGTGCACTTATGTTTTTAAGCACGCCGATTATTTAAATTTTGATTTGTCTATTTTTTTAAATTTAGAGTAAATACAATTATATCTAAGGCATACTTAGTATAAAATAGTTCTTATTAAGAAGTAATTTAATTTTTTTAATGTCAGATTTAAGAAATTTTGAATACATTATTTTTGTGGAATATATTGTCCCAATCGCACTGAACAGTAAGTTAATATGTCCCATCAGTGATCAAATTACTACATGCTGATATATTATGTTTATGTTTATGAAACATATATGAAAATTTTTGTTGTATATGAACTGGTGCATGTGGCAAAGTGTACATTTTTATTCACATTATATAGTATCACAAATTTTAGTTTTGTTTTCTGAGAAAGGGTAATATCCTAGACCAGTGGTGGTGAACCTTTTTAGAGCCACGTGCCCAGAGCCTTTTTTTGGGGGGACTGTGTGCTCAAAACCTCTTTGATTAAACCATGTTTTGCCAGGCACAGTGAAATTTGAAAGCTGACCATTGTTAGATGGTTTGTTTTAGAAAGATAATTGCAAAACCAACTTTCTGGTAATTATAATTCCTCAATTTTCCTTCAATAAACAACTTCCGCTCAGCTTCATCAAATTTAGCAACAATCTTGTGGTTGGTGTTAAAGTGTCGTCTGACACTAGATGTGCGAAGCACTTTTCCAGGACAGAATGCATAATGCTTTCCTATTGTGTTCAATAACTCCAAATGATTCTGCCCAGGTCTCTTGAAATGATCTTCCACTATCAATGTTTAATTTTGCCTTTTTTGCTGGAGTCATTTGTGAGGGTTCAAGACCTGAAGCATAAAAAATCTATTTAACAATGAGAGAATTAAAACTCACCGGCAGTCTGCAATAAATTTGAATTTGTTTAGCAAACATTAGCCGCTTCAGCTATTAGTTATTACTTGTTACATGCCATGTAACAGGTAATATGATTGGCCCAAACAATTGAAACGCCATAAATTGGGTCAATAAATATGTATATCATTTTTATGTCAATATATGAAAATCTTATACCTAGGCTTAGGCCCTATGTCAGTGGCATTATGCGATAAGTAAGTAAGTAAAATGTTCAAGAACAGATTAAAACAGTTATTTAAATTACGTAGTATAATTTTATTGTGATTATTGATTAAGGAAGTATTATTTTAGTCGCGTGCCAGCTGATGAGGCTCTACGTGCCGACTGTGGCACGCGTGCCATAGGTTCACCATCACTGTCCTAGACGATGGGGACAAATAGTCCCAGATAACATAGTGTCCCAGTAGATTTCCTGGAAATGGAAAAAGTTGAAAAACATTACACTCATATTACACTTCTTTTAGTACGTCAACATTAAATTAAACTACTTTTCATTATTAAATTTTAATCATGCAAAGTCAGGTTAAAAGTGTTAACTGCTTCATTGATAACAATGTGCATTTCTTAATACAGATTTATTTTAAGTATAATATATATCTTTTAAAGGCACTAGTGCTGAACTAACTGCTGCATTTTACTCAATAGCTGCATTGTTATGATGCTGAGTTTGGCTAAATTAGTTTTTTTCAAAATCTTAAAAAAAAATTTATGTATCTATTCTAAATCTCCTTTTCATTGCCAAACCTTTACGTTAGAAGTATTATTACTTTGTTTTTGCCTCAAATAATCAAGTCATAAATCTGATGCAATTTATTCACTGCCATTGTTATATTGCTAACCTCAGATTTTCTAAAGCAAAACTTGCTTTATGTGATCTTTAACTTTTCCCACAGTTACAAGTTTATAATTTTCCTAAAATCATCTCTGCCATTTTACTCAAATGACAAGAAAAAAAAAAAAAAAAAAAAAAAAAAATAACAGCTTATATATTTTATCTAGGAGCAAATTACTGCCTCCACAGTTTTACTCAAATGATATGAAAAAGTAAAATTTTTTAACAAATTATAAATACTCTTCCTCTTTGTCCAATTCCTTTATTATTACACATTTAAAATTTCCATCAAAATGAAAAAAAAAAAAAAAAAAAACTGCATTACTTTTTTTTAGGTACATAAACATGGAAGGACTAGCAATTAAAAAATAATATCATAAAAAGAATTAAAATTAGAAACGGTATATCATCTTAAAAATTTTCTTTCTTCATAAAAGTGACTACAGCATAGCTTATATTAATATTTTATTTATATAACACAATCAGTAACCCAGTTATATGCAAAATGCCAGTTATAATAACTACTTAATATTTAATATATACATGTATTTAAAAAATATATAGCTACAAAATAAGGCAAGGATTTCTTATTTACAATAGTTCTATGCTTACTTTTTAATGATTTATATGGACTAGGTGTGGCATCTTTATTGGAATTCATCTGATTACTGGCTGCATTTGACTGTTTAGGAAGAGTGCCACCTGAAGGAAGATATATAATTAATCTTTAAGGCAAAGATTTACTAAAATATACAGCTAGATTAATGAATAAGAATAAAAATTCATATTATAGTGTTTTATTCAATAATCAAGACCAATATAATTTTAAATACACCATACCATATAGTATTTTATTTTACACCGTTGAATCTCCTTCTATATAGCTGGCAGATACTTAACATAAGAACATGAGGAGGGTTGTAGTGACCAAAATCACTTTTCCTTTCATGTATTTTTGTGTGCATTACACTTGGGAATTTATTTCATAGATTTCTGCATAAAATTTTGATCTGTGTTGTTTATTGTTTTATCAACTTTTCTATTTTTTATTTCATTTCCTTTTTTTTCCTTCTTTTTTTTTTTTTTTTGGAGAGGGGGGGGGGACTAGTATATGCGGCATAGAACAAACATATGCAAACAATGTACCATATCAGATTTTATTTTCTAATTTTATTTCATTTTCAAAGGAAATAAAAAAATAAATTTAAGTAGACTCTTAACTGTTGTAAATTTTTTAATACAGGTTTCAGAGTTTTTAATTCAAACTTGTACCTCTTTTTTTAAAAAATATGGTTGTTGCAACGAATTAGCTGAAGTTAATGTTCACTAGCAGAATAAATTTCTACTGTCAAAATACAAATAAATAACTAGTACACAGTTTTCCAGCATTATAAGGCTTTGAAATTATACACATATGTCAAAGATGAAGCAAATGCCCCTGGCTCAGTGAATGAGTGAATGCTTTAATTACTTTTATGATTGAGATTGGGCTGAGGTTAGGGCTGCTGGAATTGCAGTTTTGCCGATAATGCAAGAAAAGGGGATGTCTTCCTCTTGGTCATCAAATAGTTGACATGATATTAGCAAAATTTTAAATAAAAAGTTGGATCCAATGTAATCTATCTATTTTTCATTCTGTTTGTTTTGCTCAACAATATTTATACTTCACAGTGTAATTTGATATCTCAAAGTGGTAAGAACGATATACTACGGTGGACACATATAGTTTCTCTTATATCTAGCGTTCTCATCTTAGATTGACCATTAATATCGACACATCAGGGTGTGCAGGCCCTTCGCAACAGATCTGGAAGATCTTGCGGAAAGCACATATGCAAGCATGGACTTTTAGATTCAGTCAGTCGGTTTATAATCCAAGTCTAGTGAAATTACACTCAGCACTTCATATAAATTAAGAGTGATACAAATTAGTTCATGTAGCATAGTTACTGTTATATTACTTCTTGTTTGTTGTATTTGATAAATAGTCTTGTGATTTTTTTATGTGTATGTTTGATGATTGACTAATTTTGAAAAAGAAAATATGTCTTCAACCAGTGGCACGACTGTCAAGAAATGAAAATATCGTAAATACAATGACAGTTATTTAAAGTTTGGTTTTACGTCAACAGAAATGAATGTTAAAGAGAGAAAATGACGTGTATTGTGTATTAAAGTTTTGGCAGTGGAGTGTATGCTTCCAAGATAACTGAAGTGTCATTTAAAAGCTAATCACCACAGCATGGTTGGCAAACCTCATGAATTTTTTGCCAGGAAGTTAAAAGAACTGAAACATACACAGGTTCAGGTGGAAGAGTTGTGGAACACCCAATGTTTACTATAAGTAATGTAGGTATAGTCCCACTAATTTAAAATAGTTCATAATAGTATATTGACATTATGATTAGATATAATTATAATTGTTGCTTAACAAGTAAATTATTGGTTCGAAAATCTGAGAGGACACTTTTTAAGAAATCAACATTTATTTTTCATGCCTTTACTTATTCTACAAAATCTTAAATGCAACTATTTATCAAACAGAAAAGCAGACATAGACGTAATGCATCTGCGTACGTGATCCTCGTGACAGACGAATTCTTTGGGGTTGCCACAATTCTCCCACCTTTTGAGTAGATGGCTACACACTCAACACATAAAACTTACATCAATAAAAATGAGTGTTATATAACAGAGAAAATTACTTAATACTTAAATCATATTACTTGAAAACAAAAGTAATACTGATGAATAATACAACAATAATATCACAACAAAATAAATCATAATAACTCAAAGACATGAATTACATTATTTGTCATTTTACAACTCTACCACTACTGGTGGTGAAAGGAACATGATCATTTTGAGTATTAGCTATTATATTATCCAGTTCCAATCTAAGCAATCTCTGTATTGGTCTCAACAACTCTGAATTACTACTTTTTACAAGAGCAACTGTTATGTTGCCATGTCACCAGGGATCACCCGAATAACGTGTACTAAATTCCAATATGCACGATTTTTATTTTGATCCTCCAGCAAGATAATTTCTCCTACAGAGAGAGGTTTATTTTTGTAATTTTTGGTAGACTGCTGTCTTAACTGCCCTAGATACTCAGCGAAATCTCACTCTTAACAATTCTCTCATTCTCTGGAGATACTTCACTCTTCTACTCAATTTTTCTTTGTCCACATTGTCAATATCAGGTACACCCGACTGTGTAATTTCATGCAGAAATTTTTCCAGAGTTTTTCCGGATAAAGGCAAGGGATCTTCAATATCGTCAGACACGTACGTAAGTGGTCTTGAGTTGACATTTCTTTCACAATCGCACAAGATGGTGAGTAACTCTTCATAACCAAGAGAAGCAAAACCTTAAATTTTTCTCAACATTTGTTTTACAATTTGTATTAAACGCTCCTACCATCCACCCCACCATTTTATTTTACCCAAGATTTTAATTAATATGCTCTTATGTTAAATCTCTTTTGCACTTATGCTTCCCACCAAGTTCATCAAAAATGCATTTAAACAAATTTAAACAATGGGGGAGTATTGGTTACTTAGAAGCATTGTATCTGTGATTCTATTTGCCAGTATGCTGTGCCGACTGTTGGCGAGTTTAACTTTTATTTGTTGTTGGAAGATACATTAGCACAGCCAGGGTTTTAGTCTTAAATTTGATATTTGCTTTGTAAATAACTGAACTACTGTTGTGGTCTTAGGCTGCAAAACATATTGAGCTTCTGTTAAAAACTTTTTAAGTTTTTAACAGAAACTTTTTTTTTGTACTTTCAAGCTGAAAATAAATATTGCAGTTGCTTCCATGCTTGCCATAATCACTTTGTGTTATTAATTCTAAACAAACTATGAGACTAGAATAGGTCAGACAAAGTGCTTAGATCTAATGTAATAAGGGTATATATAAATTTGTAATTTAATGGATGTAGGAAGGACATTTGTATCTCAATGTTTTCAGGTTAGCTTAGCCTTGAGCATACATCAAAAATATATAGGGTGTTTCATATATCATGGGACAAACTTGGAGGGGTGGTACAGCATACTAAAACATGCATTTTTTTATTGAAATGTAGGGTTTAAAGTGACAGGTTATGGCAGGAACACAAAAAAATGACATGAGAGGAAAATGTGTTTATGTACAAAATCAACGCAAAGTGCTTCATTGTAGCAATACAGTATTCACAATAAATGTTCAAAATTGCAACCACCAGCAGTAATACATGCTTGGTAACGTCGCAGAAGGAATTGATGAACATTTTGAAAACCGACAGGAATTTCGCACACGTTTGCAGCCGCAATGGATAGTCGTGCAATGAGGTCCCCAGTGAGTCAACGGGAGTCTCGTAAATGATGCTCTTCAGATGTCCCCATAAAAAAAAATCCAAACTGGATAAATCTGGCGAACGGGGTGGCCATCGAACGGGTCCACCACGGCCAATCCATGGGCCCGGAAATGTCCCATCCAAGTAATTGCGGACCCGCACATGATTATGGGCTGGTGCACCATCATTCTGGAACCACATGCAATCATGAACGACAGCCGGAACATTGAACAGCAATTCTAGTAGCACCTCTTGCAGAAAAATATGATAATATAAGCCATTTGTACGTGCAGGTAAGAGGTATGGGCCTATGAGGTAGTCGTTAACAATACCCGCCCACACGTTTACGGAAAAGCGGGTTTGGAATGCATGTGACGTGTGGATTATGAGTTGCCCACACGTGCATGTTGTGGCTATTGAAGATGCCGTCCTGTGAGAAAGTTGCCTCGTCTGTGTATAGCACATCTGATGGGAAATCTGCCTGCGCTGCACATTGCTGCAAGAACCAATGACAGAAATGAATTCGAAGAGGGTAATCTGTTTCTTGCGAGGCTTGGACTCTCTGCAAATGGTATGGATGCAAACTATTTTCATGCAATACTCTCCAAACGGTGGAAAGACTCAGCTGCAGACAACGTGCAATAGCTCTTGTACTTGTCTGAGGTGATTCATGCACAATGTTCAAGATGGATTCTTCAATGAGAGGTTGTCGTGCACTTCTTCTTCCACTCCTAGATGTGATGTCAGATGTGGCTTCAAATGACCCGTTTTCACACAGAGACCGATGCAACCTCTCGAACATTGTGTGCTTCGGCATATGCCTTTCAGAAACTTCCTGGTACAACCGTAGTGCTGCTCTGCCGTTCCCATTAGCATCACCATACACGAGATGCATGTCAGCTTTTTCCTGTGAGTATACTCATCCATCACGTTCGACATCAGAGTTGTGAATGATCCTCTGATGCATCTGATCGATAGCGTCTCCGTTCTGCGGGCCTTAAGCTTCATGCACGCACAATACACATTTTTTCAGAACAGCAACCTTTGTTGATTGGCGACGAATGCAGACTTCAGGCAGGCATTATAAATTGCTGCGAAGTGGATGTGTGCTGTGTTTTTTATCCATATACAAAAAATTAATGTTTAAAAGTATTCATATTCCAAAAGATAAATATTCAGTACTGTTTGCATTAAGAATCACTGATTTATTATTCAGCTAAACCCAGAAACATGGAATTTATTTACTTAAGACTTAAAAGCTTATGCAGAAGCCCATGTTATTCTTTTTTCAAAATAGACGTTGTTCTTTGTTGACGTGTTGATTTTTTTGAATTGCTTTAAATTAATACTATAGG